CACTCATTTTAACTAAATAGAGTGATTGACAGATACAGTAGAAACATTATGTGTGGTTTTGTATTAAATATTTTGTATTAAATAATGACCCAGATCGTGAAATACATTTATTAGCCTTAGAGTAAGGGAAGCACAACTCGGGAAATGAGAGCATCCGAGGAGCATGTGAATACCGTGTATATTTATTTTAAATATTTTTAATGTTCTTTAATGTTATCCATCATTTTTTTTAAGCACCGTTTAGGCACTGGTTCCGTTTTAGAAGTATCGATTTGGCACCGGTATCGTAAAAAACCCAATCGATACCCAACCCTACCAAACTGGTCTAATTATTAAAAGGAACGGTTCAACAAAATGTCATAAGGCTTTTTTTTTTTTTGTAATGTACTGTAATTAGTGCCCTATGCTTCAAAATGACAGCAGAAGTACAATACATCTCATAACATTAGTCAATATGACTCATGTACCATAATCCGAGTCTTGTTCAAACAGTAGCACGAACAGGCCAAAAATTATATTCACTGACAATCCTCCCATCCGGTGAGCCATTAACCGCTGTGAACGATCATGGAGTCCAGCTAGTAAAACAAATAATTTTTCTGATTTATGAAAAATTATTCAACCAGGTTTTACATTTTTTTGCATTAGGCAGATGCTTTTATCAAAAGCAACTTAAGCCCTATTCGCACGGGATTAGTATTATCTGGGGACCTTGCGTGATTTTGAAATGCACCATGCTTACTGTTTGAACTACAAGGCGGCTTTTGTGAATCTGATCAACCAAGTCAAATGATCTGAATCAAAAAGTCAATGCATTATTAATGTGTGCTCCATCTACAGTCTAGGTGCAGTAAAATCAGGCACTGGTCCAGAAACCCTGGCCTTACTTAAAGCTCTAAGGGCATAAAGATTAAAATTTCATCTTAACACAATTCTAAGGCAACCCAGAGTGTGACTTTAGTTGTTTTTTTTTTCTTCATAAATTTAGAATAAAATGTAGTACAAAATTTATTGACGAATCATGATTTGTTCATGAAAATGTTTGTATGCAAATTTCATTATTTGAAAATGTTAAATATTGATATGTACAACACATGGTCAAATTGAACTAGTCTGGTTTTCAGTTAGCATACTAACCAATTAGCATGCCAAGCTAACATTTCGTCATCCATGTCCTAAAGTTTGGATACGTAACCATATCAAAACACTGATATTAAAACGTGCAATATAATGGACATGATAGTACCATACATTCCATTCAAAACTATTAATCTTCAGATGTCAAAGGGAACACATTCATTATCATCATCATCAGGCTTTACAAACGGCTATCTCTTGGGGTCCAAGGGGGACTGGAATCTGCAGGAGGATTGAATTTTTCATGACACCGGGCCGTGCTAAGGACACTAGGTTGCAAAGGAGTGGTGTACATTTTTAGCACATTAAGCTTGGCAGATTAGCCATCTGGAGTTTAGAGGTGCAGATATAGACACTAGAATAAGACACAGGAAATGACAGTAAGAGCAGACAGTGGAGAGCACCAAAAGGGCAAGGGATGCCACCATGAATATATGTAGAGATATATAGAGGTTGTGAAAAAAATTTCTAAATGTGTGCGATTGGCATACTCGCACATTGAGTAGGCATTGGCAATGCATCACATGGCATTTACAGATCAAAACAACCTGGCTCAAGAACAGAGGACACAAAGGTGTTTTATATTTTTAAAAAGGACAGTGATATAAAACAGTGTTAACGTTGGGTTTATGCATACAAAATGATTGGAGGAAAAAAAAAATCTGCATGAATCGTTCACAAAAAGATCAATACCATGCACTTAAATAGAAAGGATACATTTACATTTTATGCTGACTTTAAACATTCACACAGACCGTAAGTATACAGAACAGACTCCCAACTACCCATTAGTCTTAATTTCCTATTAAACTCAGACTGCAAATTTACATTTCTGTAACAGGGACTGGGAGTTGAAGTTATGATTCTTAAGTAGACAGGATCTAAACGTACGTTTAGCAGTGCTTTAATTTTTGCTGGAGAAGACAGTTATGCAGAGTCTCATATTTGAATATATGTCAATATAATTTCATTAGATCAACAATGAAGCTGGGTCACATGTTGAATTATTCAACTCAGAGTTAGGCAAGAGGTAAACAATGCAGAAACTGCAGTTCAGAACTAACAGTGAGGTAAAACAAACTGGCTGGTTGAAGTATGATTTCACACACTGCACGCAGTCTTAAGGAACAACAACATAGTTGGTAAATTTAGGAAGAGTAATGAGCTTTTTTCTGATTTGCTTGTCTGCTATAGTACAGCCTTGTATAAATTACTTTCTGAAAACTGTGTGCATAGAGTTGGAACTGGAACAGGATATTACATTTAAATTAGAGATGAATACTGGAGAGGACAAGGGTTTTTGTCGACGTACTTTAAACACCTCCAAGCACATTCATTTGAATTATATTTCATCAGATGTGGATAGTAAATCCATGTATCCATTTGAGCCTTCTTAATGATTAACATCTAAAACTGACTGAGTGAAAGCTACATAACATAGCTATAGACGCGGTGTCGGTTTAAAACGAAGAACGGGAGAAAGAAGAACATTCAATATTCCAAAGGAAGTTCAATAAACTGCACCAATCCATCATAAAAAAGTGCTCCACAGCTCCGGGGGGGGGGGTTAATAAAGGCCTGAAGCAAATAGATTAGTTTTTGTAAGAAAAATATCCATATTTAGAACTTTATAAACCATAATCTCTAGCTTCCCCTAACTGGTACGTGCATACACGAGAGAGTGGTGTTCCAGCAGATGAAGTAGGCATAGCGTAAGCTCCAGTAATATATGCAAGTCTCATGAGAACCAAGTTTTGTTTACAGGAGCAAAGGAGGCAAAGTTTCTGTTGTTTAGCAAAGGAAAACCAGTCTCCTCCTGGCTTATATCGAAATCCTCTGACATTTTTCTATACAAATCCTCATTTTGAACTTCTAATTCGTGCCAGTGTTTTGTTTTGCTCTCTCAGTGCTTCCGCGTTCGTCGTCTCACCGGAGCTTAGGCTACGCCTACGTATTACATCATCCGGCTAGAACTTCACTCTCTCGTAAACGCGTGTTCTGGTGGGCTATTTGATGCACCTTCCAACTATTATTGGTTATGGTTACAATGAGGGTTAACTGGAGAAGCAAAGCTAACGGTTTGAAAAGACCATGGAATACTCTCTCTACAGGCCTAAAAGCAAATTACAAAGTTGCTTTGATGAAATTCTGGCCTGATACTGACTTACTCAATTTAAGATGCTCAAGAAAGACATTTACAATGATTTAAAAAAAATAATGCAGTTAAATGCAAATGCATAGAATGCCAGGAATGTAAGGCTTAAAGTAACATTCAAAGGCAGAAAAATTCAAAGTTTGAACCTGATGAATTTGGAATGGTTTGACACTAAACTTCAGAACAATGTTTTACGATCAAGCCTATATTATGAACATTACAACATCATACAAGCAAAGAAATATATTTTGAATTATAATCACATTTATAATAAAAAAATATGCCCATTTCTACATAAAACTGCATGTATGTAACGGATTCTCTAAAGCTTCAGGTCTGCAGGAAACTTGCTCTTAATGAGGCGATGATGAGGGGCTCCTGGCCCACCTTCAACCTGCAGAAAGAGTTGCCATGGTAAAAATATCAACATGTGCCTCAACAATTACTCAGCATGTAATGTATTATCTAAAGGTGCTAATATTGGTCACTCAGAATAATTAGGAGCCAACACATATGCTTTCAAACCCTCGATCAATTGCTCTCAGTTGATATGACATGTTCATGGCTCAGCAATAGATTAGATTAATATAAGATTAATTAAGATTATTATATTACCATTAATATAATAAGATTTAATTTTTTTAAAGGCAGAAAAATTCAAAGTTTGAACCTGATGAATTTGGAATGGTTTGACACTAAACTTCAGAACAATGTTTTACGATCAAGCCTATATTATGAACATTACAACATCATACAAGCAAAGAAATATATTTTGAATTATAATCACATTTATAATAAAAAATATGCCCATTTCTACATAAAACTGCATGTATGTAACGGATTCTCTAAAGCTTCAGGTCTGCAGGAAACTTGCTCTTAATGAGGCCATGATGAGGGGCTCCTGCCCCACCTTCAACCTGCAGAAAGAGTTGCCATGGTAAAAATATCAACATGTGCCTCAACAATTACTCCGCATGTAATGTATTATCTAAAGGTGCTAATATTGGTCACTCAGAATAATTAGGAGCCAACACATATGCTTTCAAACCCTCGATCAATTGCTCTCAGATGATATGACATGTTCATGGCTCAGCAATAGATTAGATTAATATAAGATTAATTAAGATTATTATATTACCATTAATATAATAAGATGTAATTTTTTATGGTTTTGGTGCACTAAAATATGTCTTGTATACTGTGAGCAAAGCACAGGTTTGTTGCTTTGAGTGGGCAGCATTTCTCAGATGTTCAGAGAGGCCCAACAGGACAGCTTATGTAGTCAAACACAGCAAACAGGTGAAATGATGTAACTGCTTTGAGCAAATAAACATGCTGGTTGAGTGGGCTGGAAACAAACATGATCTGCACCTTTGTAGGGCACATTATAAACTTACCATCTGACAAAAACATGGCCCACTACCCTGCTCATTTACATACATCCCTTTACCAAGATATAGTTATCAGGATGGCTAACAGAACAAATCACAGCATCATTTTCCAGCAAGAGTTGATAAATGTTTTGGTTCATGAATCTGTATTATTGTTGTTGTCATGAGTAATCATAATTAATATTATTAATAGCTGTTATGGGGTGACACTTATTGTAACTTAAATATCTTATAGTTTAACATGAAAAAATGCAGGTGTAATGTAGGTGTAAAATGAATCAATTTTATTTATTTTTTTCTTTGATGCATAAAGATGTGTAGCCAAATACATTTATCATGTTTGGTGTTCATTCTTCATCTTCATTAGAACTTTAATTAAAACACTTAATATACACATCTTTCCTAAAACTTTTTTTAAACTTTCACTTCTTTCCTAAATTAAGAAAAAAAAAGAAAAAAAAAAAGAAAAGTCAGGTATTTTATACATGATACAAAAATACAAGGATGATGAACATATTAACTGTAAACAGAGAAAGATGGCTGCCAAGAGAAGGATATAATCCTAGGAAGTGTAAATATTTTACATATATTTACATAATTTATATATACACACACACATTTCTCAAATTACATTTCAGTAACCACTAAAGTCACATTACAAGTTATTCAGTGTATGCAAAGTTGCTCGAAAGTAGCTAATGGACAAGAGAACCATAGGAACTCAAGGGATTTCTGTTCAATATCAGCGGGAAAATTAACCAAACTGTACTTTAATTTGATTGTACATTTATATATCATAAATTTGAAAAATAATGACTGCTGTTAAAAATGCTAGATGCATTCAAGTCCTGATATAATTCGCAAACTGGTTAGAACTAATCAGGAATTTATATTTAAAAATTAATTAATTAAAAAATAATTAATTAGAATCCAAACTTTTTTGGAGGCATTTCTAATAGCTTAGCATTACATGCAGCCTCTTCATTAAGGTTCATGCGACGTGGATGTTGTATAAGCCATTGCACTGGCCTTTAAAAACAGTAATGGAGGACTTATTGGCCACCTGTTACCTAACCATGCTTAGGACTGCAAGGCTGAAGGAGGTTAATTATAGTTGATCCTTGGAAAATTACACTGCCCATGCCATTTATTTCTTCCCATTTCCAAAGTCATTCAATACATAAGTTCAATTTCAGTAGTATTACCAGTAAGAGGTCATATAACCCCAATGAAGACCTCTGAAGAGTGAGCTACATTGATGCACTGTAATGTCATATTTGCACACCAATAGGTCGAAATTTTGATGGTCTGTATAAAACCTGTTTGGTTCAGTCTGTACTTCAAGCAAGTTATTTTTCCAGTCTTACTTATTAAAGAAACCCCCTGATCTAGAATTGCTACAATATGGCGTATATAGCACAGTGAAGTGTTCATAAACAAGAGGATCTGTGATTACTCAATCTACTGAAGCCTGCGTTGATACAAAGCGCAACGTATTCAATAGCTTTGCGACAACGCACGATGTTTGGCGAAATATTCCGAGTGTGTTCCGATCCACTCGGTCACTTACTTTCAGTGATCTTCTGCAGTCCCAGCACATCCTCCGGGGTGATCGTTTCGTTCGCAAGCAGTTCCTCCTCTGTGGTGACGGGGACCCCGACGTCTGCCGTGTTGCAGCCCTTCTTGACTTTCATGGCCTCGGATAAATCAGGGTTCGAGTTCGCTTTGCCGCCGCGGATGCTGTGGCGGTTATTGCCGTTGCCGGTGTCTCCGCTGCTGCTGCAACTACCGGGATTAACGCCGCCGGACTTCTTAGAGCACGATGGGTCCTGGCTGTTGCCTGTGCTGGTACAAGAATAGCTCATTATCCGCTCCTCCTCCTCCTCCACCACCACCCCCCTGCTCCCCCGGTCTAGAAAAGACACAAAACAGTCACCCTCCCGCACCCGAAGGGCTGAGCAGGTCGCCCGTTTAGAGGTATTTAAATCCTCCCGTTCTCCGCTCAATCTGAACCTCTCTCGCGCTCCAGCTGAGGGACGTACTACTGCGCGGCACGAGGGGGTCGCCTGCAGTTCAGTGGCGCACGGTGACAACAGATGACACTGTTTGACTGATAAAAAAAAGACTGCTTTGAGCTCAGCGCGTTGTATTTCTAAGGAAATCGTTTTTAATAAAATCAGTCGTCGAGCCTGGACTGAACTGGTCATTCTAGCATGTAGTGTGCGCCGGATATCTGTTTGGAATGATCCCCCGTTTGTCGTGTGGTATGATCCAAATTGATTAGTGAATGGTGTGAAGGTGCATTAATTCAACTCAAAACTAATCAGATAGCCTAGATAAAGCACAACCCCCAGCAAATATGAGAAATTGTAACGCCAATATTATTATTTAAAATTAAAATAAACTTGTATAGCTGTATATCCGTTTTTTTTATTTTTTTTTTTTACTTTAAATCTAATTTCAGGCTGCATTGACATGTGATGTGAAAGTCTTTGATTCGAAAAAAAAGAAAGGTTCCATTAAGGGTTTTACGCAGCAATGCCAGTGAAGAACCATTTTTGGGTTTCCCACAGAACGTTTCAGTGAACATAGCCCCTTTTTCTTTTAAGAAAAAAAAACAAATTTTAATAACTTAAATAATCTTAGCCACTTTTCTTTTAAGAATTTTTTTTTTTAATAACTTCCATAATCTTTTGCCACCATAAAGTACTTTTTGTGCAATAAAAGGTTCTTGGTGGAACCATATATGCCAATAAACAACCTGAATTTAGTGAAGTTATGACAGTCCACAAGAGGACGCTACACGACAGTAGGCTACAACAACAAAAACTAGCCTAACCGTTTATAAAAACGATATCAACATTTCATTTATACCAGAGAATGAGACACTGCTTTCTTAACACTGAAAAAACCCTAACTCGAGCAATTCATCAAATAATGCATCTTCGAATAATTCAAAGAACTCCCTTTTTAACCAATATAGTTGTGCTTACTGGTATAATAGCCTGTTATATTACAGCTATTGTTGTTATGATACAAAACTAAGATGGAATCAAACCTTTATAGCTTAAAAGACAGGCCAAAGGCATAAATAAATGTCATCAGTAACACGTTTATGTTCATGGTGAGTTTATTAATAATATGGCTGAGAGTGTGTAGCCTATGTTTGTAGAAGAGGACACACTCATTTCATCTCACGGGCCTGCTGAGCTGGCTTGTCTCTTTGTCATCACGGTGTGGCTGCTCTCATCAGCAGAAATCCACACACACACGTGCACATACAGACATTTTTACACACAACCAGAACTACATTTGACACACACACTCAGCATTACTTTTTTGAAAAAGTAACTCAGATATTTTCTTGTAAATTAAAAAAGTAATGCGTTACTTTACTAGTTACTTGACAAAAGTAATCTGATTACGTAACTCGCGTTACTTGTAATGAGTTACCCCCAACACTGCACATTCGACACACACACCTCCACCCTGGACAACAATGTGCTGACTGCAGTCTGTGTAAGGCCATTGTTTTGCAAAGAGACCTGGGTCGAGGTTGTGGGCTGAGCATCAGAAGTCATTTCACAATGAACGCTAAAGCTGTTCAGTTCATTTCAAATCACACGGACTGAAATGTTCAGGTCTATACACGGAAATAAAAAAAGATATTTGGAGTACGTTTTACAAGAAAACTCCATTTTAGTCATTCTACTTCAGAATTTCACATTAATTCAATGCCGTTCCTTTGCAATTATTCATGAAATTAACTAGCAGTCGAGTGAAAATTGTTTCAAAGTAAATCCTACAGCTATTTGTTTTCAGTATATGTGCATCTTTCAGTGTAAATGTCCTATGGTACATAGTTTTTCTAAAAAGCCATGTATTGTTGCTGAATTTGATGTAAGTTGCTATTGAACACATTAGTTTTTAGACATTTAAACTGCTGTGATGTTAAATTTGTCGGCATTTGAGCTCCATCAGTATCCGCTTCATTGATTTGGAAAACACACAGATTCATATTAGCATCTGCATTGCAATGTTTTTCCATTTATGGGTCAGAAACTCATCCGCGTTACTCATTGCATTGTCATTGCATCTCAGGCATCAACAAATAAAAAATTTGTATTATGTGAAAACCAATATATTTCAGTGCTATTTTGAATAGATTTTTTCCCTTATAAAGTCTGTAAAATATCAAATACTGTCGCAAAGACGTCTTCAATTCAAATTTGATAGGCCTGAAATGAAAATCTCGAGTTATAGTATATAACCTTTTATGTAATTCACATAAATGTGACCTAAAATCACATATTAGTATACTTTCCTACCTTTATAGTGTAAAAGTGAGGTGATCATCAGGTAGTGGAACATGAGAGGCCATGCAGCTCCATGGCCGCTCATTGGTGGAGATCAGTTCATTGTAAAGAGCACGCGGAGGAAATAAAGGACTACAGTTGAGGTCAGAAACAAAAGGCATCCAAAGCAAAATGCTGACAGCAGCCGGGGTCTGTGAATCAGGGAGCCCTATTGAAGCGGCGTCTGTATAAATAGCCCCACAGATGCCTGAGCAGGAGACCGCGTGGTGGATTCCCCTCAACGCATACAGCTCATTCTATTGGGTAAGTCTGGTAAACCCTGTACCTCTGCCAACTTTAAACCAGATTAAACAAGCCTGGAACACCATAGTGAGCATTAAATATACAGAATGATAAATCAAACAGTGATCCACTGATACAATAAGACATGCTAATTATAATTATGATAGAGGAGATAATTATGATTCAACAAGGTATTTGAACAAGACTGACCTGATGTGCATTAGACTGTAATATAAGCCACTCGGTTTAATTGATCCAACAATGTTCAGGCTTGTCGCACAAAGAATGTTATGAAGAGAAAAAAAAGCACTTGTACTGTTTTTTTTTCACAGTATGACAGGTAAGTGAAAGTAGAAATGTATGAAAACTGTTCATCATGTATGGCATTTTAGGGATGTTATACAGCGATGAACTATTCTGACATGATGTCTGATTCTTTGCATGCAGGTCAGTCAGCGCTGAGATATCTGAAACAATGGCTCTGACAAACCCTATGTCAATGCCCATGGGACCATGGAAGGTACAGCGATTTTATTTATTTTTTTTAGAAGAAAAAATATTGTATTTTTATTTCATTTAATATTTAATTAATTGTTTTTATTTTGTCACTTATGCTCACCAATGCTAGATTTATTTGATCAAAAATGCAAATAATATTGTGAAATATGATTACAATTTAAAACAACTGCTTTCTATTTGAATATATTTTAAACTGTAATTTTATTCCTGTGATATCAATGCTGAATTTTCAGCAGCCAACAGTACCATTAATAAATAAATAAATAATCTCATTTTCAAAACTGTTTTCAGTATTGATAATAATAAAAATCATTATTAATATTTGAGCAGCAAATCAGCATATTAGAATGATTTCTGAAGGATCATGTGACACTGAAGACTGGAGTAATGATGCTGAAAATTCAGCTTTGACATCACAGGTATAAATTATATTATGAAATACATTCAGATAGAAAATAGTTTTTTCAAACGGTAATCATATTTTACAATATTAGTTTTACTGTATTTTTGATCAAATAAATGCACCCTTGGTGAGCATAAGAGAATTCTTCCAAAAACCTTAATTATTCCTAACTTTTGACTGTTGATGTATGGATTTATTTTGAATTAAAGTTTAAAAAAATAATAATTTTAAATAATTTAACCCTTTAACTGTCACTCACATTTTTGAACATAGACGTGAAAGTGCACGATCCAAACTTAATTTTTTTAAATTCATAAACGAAAACATTTTGTAACATGATATTGATGTACCATTTTCGTGGTAATGCAATGTTTGATTTTAAAATGGGTTTCAAAGGATGAATTTTGAGATTTAAAGTTTTCAATTGATTTATAATTTCTGATGATTTCTAAAGTGTGATAGAGAAAAAGGCAACAAAGAAGACTTTTTTTGACAAAGGTCAGAACTCCTGTTATGATGTAGATTTTTGAGGTGCACTTTTGTCATAAATTAATCTATTACTTTTCCTACATAGATATTTTACCAATGTTTTTGTAAAAACATATTTAGGAGTGGTAGACCTTTCCAACGATATATAGTTTGTCATGATTAGATTAGGATTTAATTGTAATATAGTGAAGTAAACTTAGGCGTCCCACAGAGGGGACGGGTGACAGTTAAATGGTTAAAACAAATTTTAACACGTAAACAACAGGTAAATTTGTCCCCCGCACTTTATTTCGGGCAAGCGTGTTCACATAGAGGTTTTCAAGGGTTTTTCAATTTCAGTTTTTCAAATTATATCCAGGTAATAAATGAAGTATATTAATAATGCAGTGCTAATTGACATTGCATTTATTAGAGTACAGAAACTATTCTGCCTTATTCAGTGATAAAAATTGAAAAAAATGGGTTTGTAGTATATAAACACAAATCATAAAACTGTCATTAGGAAAATATTTAAAACAAATTAAGAAAAATATTATAGAATATAAATTATTTGGTTATTGTCCTGCAGTGTATTTGACTGTCAATTAAAAAACTTGTCAATTAAAAAAAAAAAATTATTACTACATTTCTGTCCCCGACTTCTGAAAAGATGGCTACGCCCCTGGATATTTGTGTGTATTTACACATTTCTTTCTTTTTCAGATTACTGTTTATGATCAGGAGCATTTCCAAGGCAGGCGTTGTGAATTCACCGCTTGCTGCCAGAACATCATGGAGTACGGAATGGAGACTGTCCGCTCCCTGAAGGTGGAGTGTGGCGTGTGAGTAAAAGCAAGCATCTTTGATTACCTGAGTAAATCTCTCTTCCTCTTTCCAGCCCCATCTCCTAATGGTTTCTTCTGACTCTAGCTGGGTAGGTTTTGAGCACTCTACCTTCAATGGCCAGCAGTTCATCCTGGAGAAGGGAGATTACCCTTGCTGGGAGGCCTGGAGTGGCAGCAATGCCTATCGCATTGAGAGGCTGATGTCCTTCCGCCCCATCCATTCTGCTGTGAGTGAGACCATCTGCAGCAGAGACACACAATACACCCACCAACAGACTCTCTGATCATCACTATTTCTCAGCACATTTACATTTTTCATAGTTGTAGATACATGGCATTAAATTGAGTTGAGAATAAATTGAATTTGAAGTGAGCTAGTAAAAAAATTGCAAAAAGCATA